AAACATGAAAAAAGTCTTTGTGGGAAGAAATTTTCAAGCGACGAAGAAGTGAAGTGTAATGTTCGTGGGTTTAACAAATTAAATTTTAAGAAGAAAACTATTTATTTACACTAAAAAGGCGACCGCGGCTAGTCGGCGAATCGATAAGCCGCTCACACACACGTATGCCCGACACGCTTGTGCTCGCTACAGAAGGAATTGGTCAAACTTGGGAAAAATGTTGATTAAATATCTCTGTAAATTCCGGACATTTTCTTACGAGTCCGTCGCTGTAAACGATAATTTTGGTCGCACCAATTTGTATTGTTTCTGCCGTAACAGCCGATGTTGTTATAAACGGTATTATATCTATCAAGGATTTAGAAATTTCGTCGTAATAACCGTTATGTCGTTGTTGTACCCAACTTCATTATAACCGATAGGTATGTACCATTTGGTTTCAGATTTCCAAATCCTGAAGAAGGAAGGAGCTGTCTCGATCTCTCGTTCAAAAAGGCAGATAAAATTGGATCAAAAATTATATTAGCCAATGATCCGGACGCAGACAGATTAGCAGTAGCAGAGAAAAGCGATAAGTAAGTTTTAAATTTCACGAAATTGTTACTCCAGTTATTGCCATCATCATTTGATATTCGTTTCATTTTTTGTTATCATTTTGAAAGATGGTTTTTAGAAATGACACCTGGACAATTTTCAATGGAAACGAACTCGGAGCTCTTCTTGGTTGGTGGATTTTGCAATGCTACAGGCAAAGATGTCCGAAGAGTGATTTGAGTAACTGCTACATGATGTCGAGCACAGTGAGTTCGAAGATCTTGAGAACAATTTCCAAAAAGGAAGGTTTTAATTTCGAAGAAACATTAACTGGATTTAAATGGATGGGTGAGAATGACATTTAATTATTTCTTCATTTATTTAGAGAAGTTCCAGAAGCTTTACGAAAAAAATAAAATTTAGATTTGTTATAAAAATTTTGTCCATTGGGTAGCAGCTCATATCTTAATAACAACATCACAAAGACGTGAATCCAAAGACTCCTTTCCACTCTGATCCAATTTTCGCATTTCCTGAAAATAAAGCATCCCTTATCCCCAATGCAGGCTTAATATCGCATCTATTTATTCTATTTCAAGTATGTTTCTAACCAGTTCTTCATGTCTCAAAAGATGTCCTAACATCTCATTTCTCCTTTTACTTGTTGACATCCATGGTATCCTCTGTTCTTCTACTTTTTACAATTACTTTTCCATTTCCAATCTTTTCTTCATCATCACAAATCATTAATCTGTAGCAGTAGAATTTAGTAGTTGTACCTAATGCAACTTTAAACAATTCGAACACACTGTACAAGAGTTCTTATTTAAGTACATGTTTATTAAATTATTATCTATAATAGTTACTTAATTACATACCCCTGTACATGTATCACTTTTCATGTATATTGTGTGGTGCACCACCCGCTTGTACGAAATGTAGTAGATAAGACAACATATAGTTCTTAATATACTTTAAGTGCCTTTATTAAACGTTACAAAATTCGATTATGTTCATTGTAACCAATAAAATTTTATCTATCTTCTTTTTTTACGGTTTAAGTCAACACTGCGTTTTATCGCCGCATCGTACTTATATTTTTTTATCCCTATGTGTAAAATGTTGCAAAGGTTACTGTTCGTACTGTGTGAATTATTACCTGAAAAGTATTTTTAATACGTATTATAAATATAAACAAAAGCAAAACAAATTAATTGTGAATTATAAGCAAATTATATAATACACCATTAACAACAAATCGAGTGGAACTAAAAAATGATTAATAAAATTGCATAATATTTTTTTACAAATACTTGCTTTTATAATTAGTTTGATAAGCTGTAAATTTAAATGTTTAATAAATTCCTACGTAGACATATTAGAATAATCCTCTTACAATAATTTCAATTATATATTTTTTAATAACAAAAGTCATTGAATAATTAGGTAATTATCAATTTCAATTAATCAATTCAAAAACCGTATTGGTGAATGCATTATTATTTACCAAAATGTATATTGGTTAGATCGATTTACGTTTGTTTTTTTACAAGACACAAAACACAAACAGAAGTGATTTGTGAACTCTATGTCGGCTATTGAAGTATGTTTGTAATAAAGATGTGTAGTTACTCAATTTACTATAAAAATAATACAAACAACAAAACATCTGTAAATGAGACGATATTTTATAGGCGTTTGTTGATATAGACTATAAACAAGCATAGTTGCGAGTTGTTGTTAAATTATTTTGAAAACAAATAACATTTAGCATTTTGTCAGAGAGACAAGTGAAAAAACCCATCTATAAAAATAACTGTTTTTTAATAAGCATATAAGGCAGGCAGTATTTGTAAATACTAAGGGTTTTAGTATCTAATAATTAAATAAAATATTTATAAAATTGTTGTTATAGATTCGCGGAATTGTCAGCATCGATATTTCTTCACAAAAATTACAAAGTATACTTGTTCGGCGACGTTGCTCCAACCCCTTTGGTAGCC